CAAAAGTTTAAAAAAATACATTTAAAAAAATACAAAGTTTAAAAAAACACATTACACAATCTTACATTATGGGTCTGTCGCTGTTTTGTGCAAAACTGTAACTTAGCTGTTTAATTGAATAATGATAATACAAGTGTGATTGACTGAACTATATAGAATATGAAAAGGAAAGCAGAGGAAGAGGAAAATACATTCTTTTTTATAAAGAGGACTAGTAACAGCACAAATGAACATGAAAAAGAGCCAGGGGAATTTAATGATACAGAAAGGAAAGAAGCAGGGGGAATGTCAGAGATGGAGTATGTGCCAATAGAGACAACTCAGATCAGACATGAATCAGAGATGAGCAAAAACACTCATATAGTCAGTCATTGCCCACCAGGTATGTCTTATAGGTTACATAAAATTGTATCTGCAAATATAAAAAATAATTTTCTAATAACTTGTATTATTAGCATCTAAATATACAAATAGAATAAGGATTGTATTGAATTATGTTGTTGTTTTATGGAAGTCCAGAGGTGAAGCTCCTGTACAGCCAAAATTGAAGGTGTTTCCAAGGACTCTTCAGGGATACAGAAGAAGGAGCTTTAAAAGTGAATGGTACACAAGTCACCCCTGGTTAGAATACTCCATAAGTGCAGACTCAGCCTTCTTTTATGCTTGTAGACATTTTAGCCTCCCCAGCCACACAGAATCAAACTTCACTTCAAATTTAGGATTTAAAAACTGGAAAAAGGTAACATTCAAAGATGGAGGATTCGCTGCACACAGTAGAATTGAGCATCACAAGGATGCAATGATGGCATGGAAAGAATTTGAGATGTCTGAAAAAAGCAGGAATCTCTAATTGTAAATTTAAACAAAGACTACAATAAAACAGTTAAAGAGAACCAGGATTATATTAAAACTAAAACCAGGATTATATTAGCTGAGGTCTTGTTTTACACTGCAACACAAAATATTGGCCAAAGAGGGCACAATGAAACAATGGAATCAGTCAGGAAAGGGACCTTTTTAGGTATATTGGAGCTGATTGCAAAACATAATCCTAGCATTATGAAAAAAAATGAATGCAGTTGGCAATGCAAAATATACACGTGCTGATATCCAGAATGAGATCCTGTCTTGCTTAGCAGAGATGGTGCACACCTCAATAATAAAAGAGGTCAAGAAAAGTGAGGTGTTCAGCATACTAGCTGATGAAACTAAAGACCTTAGCAAAATAGAGCAGATTTAATTTGTAGTAAGGTACTACTACAATGGTACAATAAATGAAAAGTTTTTTTACAGTTTGAACACGCTGAACGCTTAGATGCTGAAGGACTGACACAAAAGATTACTGATACTCTGGAAAGATATGGTCTGGAATACAAGAGAAATCTTGTAGGTCAGTCTTATGATGGAGCTGCAGTCATGAGTGGCAAGCATTGTGGTGTACAGACACGTGTAAAGCAATTGGCAAAGCAAGCCTTTATGTGCACTGTAATGCTCACTGCCTCAGCCTTGTGCTTGTTGACAGTAAAAGCCATCCCATACGCTAACTGCTTCTTTTCCTTGTTACAAAAACTGTGTATGTATTCATGTCAGGATCAATGGTGCTGATGTGGCTGCAAATTCAAGTTGAAATGTATTCCGGGTGCTCCCAGAGAACCTCAACGGTTGAGTGACACGCGGTGGTCATGCAGGTATTTGGCCTGTCGCAATTTAATGGACAGGTTGCCAGCAGTAGTAACGAGTCCTAGAAGAAATAGCTGGGGAACAAACTGGGGGACAGTCAGTAGATGCCCAAGGCCTTCTGTTTACTGCATTTCTAGCAACATTTAAAAAAACGTATTGGAGATGCAAAATTCCTTTTTTTTTCATGCTCCAGTCATGATGTCTTGAATTAGCAAAAGCAGTAGACCTAGTGGAGGCACTCATTTGCACATTTGAAAATTATAAAAATGAGAAGGTATTTGATGATGTTTGGACAACAGTTTTGAGTATTGCTGAGCAGTGTGATATCTGTACAGAAACCATTCCCAAAACGAAAGAGGAAGCTAAGCTAAGCTAGAAGCAACCTGTGTCATGTCAACAGTAGGAAGTCAAGCAGCTCTGAACAGCAAGAGTTTTTCAGAGCAGGGATATTTTACCAGGTTTTGGACATGATGCTAAATGAGCTGAGGATTTGATTTTCAGACCAAAATTGTGACATAATAAGGGGTATCCAAGCTCTGAATCCTTCTAGTGAAACATTCTGTGAAAAGGATGTTTTGTTTCCATATGCTAGGATGTATGGATCTGATCTTGAAGACCTTGTACATGAGCTATACCAAGTAAAGAGAATTTTGGATCGAAAGTTAAACAGGGTATACAGAAACCATCCAGTATATTAGCCATTGTTGTTTTTGTTGAGCCGTACAAGGATGTTTTCCAGGAATTATTTAGGCTGTGTAAAATTGCAGTTGCAATTCCAGTCAGTACTGCTGCATGTGAGGGCAGCTTCACCTGCCTGAAGCTTATCAAAACTCATCTCAGATGTAGCATGGCAGAAGACAGGTTGAGTGATCTGGGGATTCTAAGCATAGACAAGTAAAATGTTACATCCCTTGAATATAGTGTTTAGAAATGCAATGTGTGTGCAGTTTGTCTGTATAAAGTAATGCAAAGACTCTAGGCACTTGCTCTTTCTTGGCAAATAAAGTGCATTTTCACCTGTCAGAGTTCAGAGATTGTAACATTTAGATTTTTCTTTACAAGTAGACTTGGGATAGTATGAGTTCATTAACAATTATTAATTTAGCATTTGGACACAGACAATGACTATAGTTTCTTATTTTATATGCTTCATGTTGTTTGAGATATCTTATGTTGCTATAATTTGTAACATTTCTCTTTTTTTGTAATGTTACTTGACAGCTGTTTTCTGTTTTAGGACAAAATTTTGATTATCTAAAAAAAGGATAAGCATGAAATGTTTGAGAATAATACAGACAGAGCAAGCAGTGGAAGACTGTCTACACTTTATGTGTGAAAGACTAAAACAAACAAACAAACAAAAATCTCACTTGACCAATGTGTGGTTTATTTAACAGTAGCATTCAAGTAAGAGATATACCAGAAATTGAATAAAGTAATCAAAATGTAAAAGAAAAGCACTGCAGTCTTCACTGTATGAATTAAACATTCATACATTGATCCTTATTAAAGCTGTTAAATTCAGTCAAGATCAGTGAGTGATTTTCTCTTTTTCTTTTATTGTTTGATAACATTATAGATATAGACAAATGTTAGCCTGCTGTCACTTTAAAAGCTGCACAGATCCAATTTATTGATGCGTTTTCTTTCTTAGCGGTTTCCGTTCACACAAGTCAAAAGCCAAGGCAGGCATTTTAACATAATTTAACAAATTTGACCGTTGAAGCGGCATCATGAAATTAATGAAAAGAGATCTGAATTTGCGATTGCATGCTGTCTGTCTGTGAGAGGTGCAGTACTCACGCACTATCACACATGGTGTGATAATAAAAAAACTTTATGACTTTAATGTTGTGCACCTTTAATTTTTGCGTTTGCCTTTCAAAATCTTTCATCACTGGAATTAAGATGATAAAAATGTAATTTTAAAACACAGAACTTACTTTGAGATCATTCTGTGGTTAAATACAGATTTAAAATTATAACAAGAAATAGTTTAATAGCTATTATACTGTTTTTGAAATCAAATCTTTGAGTAGTCATGACAGGAAACACTGGCATCTAACAATGCCAAGGTAAAAAAAAAAAGTTAATCTTAAAAAACAAAGCATAAAGATAAAAGGAAATAAAACAGTTATCGAATAAGCATGTGTCATATTCGGTGTCCTAAACTCCTGAAACAAATAATTAAACTAGACTGTATCATCTATTTTAATTATTTGTAATTAGATTACATATTCACATTACTTCCCTTCATTTCTCAAAACACATTAATAAAGTAGGCTTCACCAGAACTCTACAAGCTCTACCTCTGTAACCAGCAGAATATACCCCACCAGAGATAATAATAATAATAATAATAACCCTATACCAATACATAGAGGTAATCACTCAAAAATCTGAACAAATAAAAAAGGTCAAGCAACCTCCACTGGACCACTTGATATGGATTGACCCAATATTACTATCACTGTGTACATTGACAAAATTGGGAAACCACTGACAACAGAGGAGCAAATGTCACATGCAAATGTAGTAAACTACATGTTTACCAGAGATGATGTGAATATTATGGTATGTACTCCAGTAAGCAATCTCTGTAGGGCAAACCCAGATGATCGCTTTTTTTAAATGTGGTAAGAGTGGAAGGATAAGTTAAGAAATGCAACTTAGGATACTTAAGAATGCCATATCAATGTTTATCTCCAGATACATTTGATCTTTGGGTTGCAGGGGTGAGTTCTGCGAGTACAGGTGCATCTCAATAAATTAGAATGTCGTGGAAAAGTTCATTTCAGTAATTCAACTCAAATTGTGAAACTCGTGTATTAAATAAATTCAATGCACACAGACTGAAGTAGTTTAAGTCTTTGGTTCTTATAATTGTGATGATTTTGGCTCACATTTAACAAAAACCCACCAATTCACTATCTCAACAAATTAGTATTGAGATGCACCTGTATGTACTGTACGTTTTAAATTCTTCTGTATTAAAGGCTGTTTGTGTGAGTTTGCCAAGAACATGTTCAGGTCATATTTCACATCAATAGAAATTTATTTCTCTAAAGAAATAAAGAATTATATTTTGCATAAGAAAAAATATTTTCAAATTCTTAGTGGAAAAAAATCTCACTAATGCAAACATAAAATTTTATATTATTTAAATCATAAAATACCTTTATAAAGTACAATTGCAAGTATATATTATGGTATTTGTTGTACTGCATTTAATTTGTGCTGATTAATAAAAAAAAAAAAGTTCAATAAGTCCAGACAAGAACATTTTAATTATTATTATTATTTTTATTTATTTTTTTTGCTTAACAGTAATGGACATGTAGGGAGAGACTATAATTGGCACAACAATAATGTCACGATGTAAAAACTGTAATAGCCCTAAAATAGGCTTCATTTTTGTAATACAAATATTTTTTTGATGAAATATGACCCAAACATTTAATTTACCGAGTACAGTTTGCACCTGCCTATTTTAAGGTTGTATCTACTAAAGCATTTTAGTAGATACAGCAAAGTATATATGTGTATATGCAAAATCCTTCTCACATACAGGGGTTGCTAACTGATCAGCAATTAATAAATGTAACCAAAATTTTGACACCTCAGAGAAGCAATAACCCCACCAATTCCACATGTAGTCTTAATGAGTTCTGTGCATATTATAAAAAAAATTTAAGATTTCAAAATATTGGCAAAATCTTTTATCCCAATTTTAAGAAGGGTATGCAATGGATAATTATAGAGCTGAATAATACACAGTTGCACACTTATAGAGCCTATATAATCTCACTCAAGAGAAATCTGAGATTTGTTGTGCGACAACAACTTGACCATCTCCATCTTCTTTATGGCTGACCACCAAGTCACACTTTCCTACCACAGTCCAAACAGTTGTATTTTCACACTAGTCCAAGAATCCTGAGGAACATTCTTTCTCCAGCATTTTCAAATCATGTTTTATAAGTAAAGTCAAACTGCAGGCTGAATCCACATAGAGTTTTAGCAGGAAGTGGATCCATCACATGTTGCCTACCCTGATGTGGGGATTCAGCATGGGATCCAGGTTCGGATCTGTCTCAGCTGAGGCTCGACCCAGTTTGGCCATGATTATAATGAGGGTAAAGAAACCAATCACTCCAACCAACAGCAACATGAAGATTCGCTGTTTCAGTGTGAGGGCCTTTTTCTTAGTGCCAGTACGATTCCTAAAAAAAGGAATAAATCATACAAATATATTAGCAAATGTAATGGGAAGACAAAACATTTTTCCCTTAAAGGGGTCATATGATGTTGCTAAAGAGAACATAATTTTTTTGTATTTGGTGTAATGAAATGTGTTTATGCGGTTTAAGGTTCAAAAAACACATTATTTTCCACACACTGTACATTATTGTTTCTCCTCTATGCCCCGCCTTTCTGAAACGCGTCGATTCTTACAAAGCTCATCGGTCTGAAAAGCGAGGTGTGCTGTGATTGGCCAGCTATCCAGTGTGTTGTGATTGGCTGAATACCTCAAGCATGTGACGGAAATGTTACACCCCTTACCATACTGTGATGTCGTGTCCCGGCCGGAGCGACGAGACAAAAACATTAAAACCCATTATAAATGAGGCATTTGTTGCATCCAGTGGGGACATAATTACGGATTATAATGACTTATACTGTCTTTTTAAACATAAAACCATGTCTGCATTTGTGATCGGAGAAATGACAAACAACAAGCGCTACTCTACACTGCTCAAAACGGAGCAGAGCGGAGGCCGGCGGGCTAGAGTGAGCGGAGGCCGGCGGGCTTGAGAACGCCCAAATAGAAAGGAAAAATGTAAATCACATCATATGACCCCTTTAATAAATATAACTAAGTAAATAAATTAAATTAGTGAAATAGTAGCAATTAATAAAATTATACTGGATTTAAACATACTAGTTGTGTAAAATCAATGCTGGCAAAACTGCCAATGAAAATATATTACAGCATATGACAAGAAGGATTAGGCCATATTTTTTTTTTGTGATAAATTAATTTGAGCCACAGACTAAGGACACTCACTTTAGAACCTGTGCAAACCAGCTAAGGGCAGGCCGTCTGCGGTATTTATCATCATCAAAGTCAATCTGCATCACTGCACTGTGTCCTGAATCCCGCGTGTCGTATACCTTTCTTGGGGATACAGCTGAGAAGACACATTGGAAGAAATTAACAAAGAATATATTAGAGCAGGGTTCTCCAAACTTGGTCCTGGAGAGCCAGTGTCCTGCAGAGTTTAGCTCCAACCCTAATTAAACAGTTTAATAATTTTTAAACACACAAAAATCTATTATAAATGTGAAAAATAAGTTTTGATCCAGCATACTGAATGAACAAATCACTGGTCACCATTCAGTCAATTAAACATTGAATGCAGGAATTTGACAGTATGACAAAAATACTACTGAATTGTTTTACATACAGTATGCATTTTTTACAAAGATGCATTATTTACATTCACAGAACGCAGTAAACAGTAAATTAGTGTTCTAGTCTGAGCACAATGGTGGCAGTAGCCTTCACAACAAAGTTAAATCACTAACTAAAAATTAATTATTTTATTTCCGTACATATTGTGACATTTAAAAAAAAAAATTTTTTAAATGCTTAAATATTCACAAAACAATATGCCAGTGCTGGTGGATACCTGTGTTAATGGTGATTGTATCGGTGGTAGAGGTGGTGCTCATACTGATGGCAGAGTGATTCTGGGCACTCATTTCTCCATTTTTGTGCATGTGTTCCACATCCTGATCAAGTGGTAGACTGGTGGGTGTGGGGTTTGACAAAGTTATATCCACTGTAGGGGCTGGAGCACAGATGAGTACATCAAATCAGTTTAAAAAGTTTGGACAAAACTAACTGTATTACTTTTTTGAATGACCCTGTTATAAACATGGTAGTCTACGATTTTTAATTTACAGTGTATTAATTACTAAAAAAGGTTTTCACTCTTTTCAATGCATTAATTTAAAACGCACACAGTCATTATGTACAGTGGGTACGGAAAGTATTCAGACCCCCTTAAATTTTTCACTCTTTGTTATATTGCAGCCATTTGCTAAAATCATTTAAGTTAATTTTTTTTCCTCATTAATGTACACACAGCACCCCATATTGACAGAAAAACACAGAATTGTTGACATTTTTGCAGATTTATTAAAAAGAAAAACTGAAATATCACATCGTCCTACTTTCCGTACCCACTGTATATTATTATTGGATGGCTCTGTTGCAATGTTATAGTATGATTTTGTGTGTTTTAATACTTTAATAGAACTTTTTTTTTTTTTTATTGTTCTGTCTAGTGCCCATTGTAATTAATAGACTTCTTTGACAGTGGCGACTCAATATTAAAGGGATAGTTCACCCAAAAATAAAAACGCCACCTCTACTGCCCGCGACTCCTGAAAAACTTTTTCATTCCACATCGCCCCATCAAGCTCTATCTGGATCCGCTCCTCTGCTATCAACGAGAGGAATGTCTGTACTTCCTCAACAGTAGGGCTGGGTATCGAGTTCGATACTTTTTAGGCACCGACCGAATTACCTCGATACTATCGAGCATCGAAAAACGTCTTGTCGTTCGGTACCAAATTTCGATACCTAAGGGGTTCAGATAAACATACAATTTTCATTTTTGGGTGAACTATCCCTTTAAGTATGTAGTCTGTTATGCAGCTCATGATACAGTGTTTTCAGTGTTTGTTCACAGTGAATACAGCAAACAAAATCTTTGTAGTGTTTGGACCAATCAGACACACAATTATTTGTTATATTCAACAAATAATCCCTAACACCCCTCACCCAACCAACAAGCCAACTATGAGGGTCTATGGACCCTTCCCCCGAATTGCAACTAAAGCCCAATTTATACTTCTGCGTCGAACCTACGCCATAGCTACATTGTGTATATTATTACTGTTCTTGTATATTGTCTTTTGTATTGCATACTGTTTTATGCATGCTTATGATAGAATCCTTAGTTAATATGACCCTCACCATGTTTGGTATCTACAAGTTTGTATATTCATGATCAAAATGAGAGTGTATATTATGTAATGGATAATCAGCGGCTAGCTGAGCGTTAAAGGATTTTAAATGCACGACGTGGAGGCAAAGAACCGCCCGACGCAACAGTGGAAAAACCCCCAAAAGTGAACCGTACCGAGGACCGTGCCGTACCATGCAGTGGAAAAGCGCCAATAGTTTCTTCGGCAGAACACAAACGAAGATTTTTAACACAAACCGTTGCAGTCTGTCACCTGCTACATGATAAGATGCCTCCACTGCTTTAATGTTGTCATTGCCAGAGAATGCAGTTTCAATAGTTTTTTTCAGTTTGTTCTCAAAAAACTCAATAGGCTTGGACACATATTCACTGTGTTTAGTCTCCAAGTGCCGTCGTAGTTTGCTCGGTTTCAAAGCTTCATTTGATAAGACTTCTGAGCAAACAACGCAGAGCGGTAGCTGCTTGTTCTCCGCTCCCACACATGTGAAGCCTCGCGCTAGATAGTCACTACTGTATTTTCTTTTAGATTTATTTAGAGTCTTTTCAGTGTCAGGCTTACTTGTAGATGGAGAAACATCTGCATTTGTTCTTTTCAGCGACCCTGTTGACAGCCATTTATCCATGTTTGAATCTGTTGTTCTGTAGCATATGCAGCAAAAATATTTTAGAATTGGCGGTTTATTCTTAAACCAATCAGCGAGCTCGAATAGTGGAAGCAAAGTAACAGTTTAATATTTATTTTTTTATTTAATTATATATATGAAATTAAGATATGTTATGACTTAGAAATTTTTACATATATTAACAATATAATTATTTCTTTTAATAGTAATTGGCGGCCCACAGGTTGAAAACCACTGCTCTAATACATTAGTACTGTAAGAAAGTTATTTTCTATGGCCATGAAAATATCATTTCTTAGAGTTGATATGAAAGTACACTGAATGCTCGCCAGATGAACAGATTAGTGATGTTAATATTATTTCTGCTACAGTTACTACTGGCAGCTGATATAAATAATTGTAATGTACAATGCACCAATTAAGCTTTTAACATTAGCATAATTTCCTACATTGTTGTGGACAGATGATAAAAGTTTGAGGGTTAACTCTTTAGAAATTAGGGCTGGGCGATAAATCGAAAACGATAATTATAGCAATATAATTTTACCTGATAAAACGATAACAAGACTTCGGTAAATGTTCGAATCGATATAATGTTTATGCGCCAAACGCCAGAGATGGGCAGTATTTTAATTAAATGTATTTAAAATATGCATTTAATTACTTTTGAGTATCTTGTAATTTGCATTTTGCTGGACAAAACAAAAATCTATTGTAATTAAATACTTTTAGAAACATTATTTTGTATTTGAAATACTTAAAACCCTTAATCAAGTAGGTCATTTTATTCTCAGATAATACAATATCTTTCTTCACCTGTGTTAATAGTACTGCCAACTATAGCCTATCACAGTTTTTGGCTAGATGCAAGAGAATCATGACATCCTGTTGGATCCATAGGCAGAGTCTTAAAGGGTTAGTTCACCCAAAAATTAAAATTCTGTTGTTAATTACTCACCCTTGTGTCGTTCCACTTTCGTAAGACCTCCGTTCATCTTCGGAACACAAATGGAGATATTTTTGATGAAATCCGAGTGCTTTCTGTCCCTCTACAGTCAGCCATGCAACTTACACATTTAAGTTCCAGAACGGTAGTAAAGACATCATTAAAGTATTCCATGCGACTCCAGTAGTTTAACCTCAATTTCATGAAGCAACGTGTGTGCTTTGTTTGCGCAAAAACCATAATTTACCACTTTATGAAAACATTATCCAAACACATGCGTCTCTAGTTGATGAGTGAGTCTTCTACCGTTAACACAACACAAATGCATTATGTTCTCATGAACACACAATGCAGATCAATTTTTTTCATAAATAAAGCTGTAAATTATGTTGTGTGTGTGTGTGTGTGTGTGTGTGTGCGTGCGCAAACATAGCACTTGCATCAGTTTATAAAATTGAGGTTAAACCACTGGAGTCACATGGAGTAACAATGTCTTTCCTACCATTCTGGGTTTTGAACATGTAAGTTGCTTTGCTTCATGTGGAGCTCTCAGATTTCATCAAAAAAAATCTTCATTTTTGTTCAGAAGGTCTTACGGGTGTGAAACGACATGAGGGTGAGTAATTAATGACAGAATTTCCATTTTTGGGTAAACTAACCCTTTAATTGGTCCATGGCTCCTTCCAACTGGAGAAAGAAAAAAAACAATGAAAGAAGCTGTTTTGGTGCTCAGTGCAAACTGGCTAAGTATGTACTAAAATATATATTATCAGATATTGCTTACTTTATGTTATTACAGGACAGAAAATAAAGCTGTGCAGCTCTAGAACTTTGCTTGCTAGCTAAGAAGTGACGTTAGCTTGCTAGCTGAAGTTAACTACTTGTTTGTATGGACAAAATGAAATTTTTATAGGGGCTTTATGAAAAAAAAAATTTTTTTAATTTTTGAAAAAGTATTAATCGCTTTTTATTGTCAGTGTGTGAATAGCATGTAATGAAACTTAAAAAATTAGATGAAACCTGTAGACTAATTTTTATGTGAAGGACTCAATCCAAGGGAAACAATCATAACATTGCAATGTTAATGAACCTCATCTGTCCACATGATGTCGGTGAATAACATTGGCCATCACTCGCTTGCATTACTATGGAGTGTATGCAAAAGCATGAGCAATAAGTTGCTGGCCACAGCTCACTTAACAGCCACCGGTGACACTAATAACAAGGGTTTCTGAATTCTACATAGAGCCCTTTAACAGCTAAATATCAGCATTTATAGGAGTTAATCTCTACTGTTGACAGTGAAATAGCTTGAGCCATCCACTTGAGTAAGACTAGGCAGTATGACAATACAGTTTTGCAGTACTGCTTAATTTTTGTCATGCTGATGAAACAATAAAGGAGCAATAAAGAAAAATGAATAAATAAAGCATAGACATGGTATTCAAGTAAACACATTCGGCTGTGTCTTAAGTGAACATAAGAAATTAGAAGAAATATGCATCAATATATTTGGATATATTGTCTAGTGTTAGGGTTAAAGAATGTTCAAGGAGGGGGAAGTACTTCTCTTTCTCTTATGTGTATACCTTACTCCAGTATTACTAAATGTAATGGCACTGTCTCTTGCATTACAAATGATTGCTTGTAAATATTGTTTGTATTTTTGTATTTTTAAATTACAAATTACTTGTATTACAATGAAATATATTTCTGATATGACAACTTTCGGAGGGATTGGCATAGTAATGTACATGACAATGTTAACGTATTTGGTCTTCTGCTGCGGCAGAGCAAGTACTGAGAATTGCTACTGCCAATACATCCACAACATGCTGCTGTGAGCATTTAAGAGATATTGCTGCTGCAAATATAACATACATGAAATAACCCCCATATAGCATACAAGAATCACCTCGTAGCAGATCTATACAGGTGGAGCTGGGGAAGGTGGAGTGTTTCAGAAGCAAGCTGCAACTGCTACGGCAAGCACTAGTCATATATTTGAATGTTGAGCAGCGAGCTCATTGGCTACCGATACAGGAGAGAACCAATCAGCTGTGCCATGTGATGATGTCATTAGGTCAGATTGAGTTAGACCTATCGGACTGTGCCATCTAGAGTTTCATGCCAGAACTCTGTATTTCTCACACCAACATGTTGTATTTAAATTAAATACATTTGATGAGCAAGAATTTGTAATTTGTAACAAAATACGTTTTGATGTA